AATAATAATAATAATAATAATAATAATAATAATAATAATAATAATAAATATTGGGGAAAAAAAGAAAAATGATTGGGGTGCAGCTCAGTTTTCAGCAATACCTGCCAAGCAAGCCTGACATCCTGGGTATGATTCAACATCACATAAAGATAAATGTATTTTTATTTACATGAAATACTGATTACCCCCTAATTCAGTATCAGCAGAAATTTGGATGGCTATGTCTCTATCAATATGTGTCTACTGGTATGTGTTGACTATGATGTCATGTATACTATAGAGAACTCTACAAAGATGAAGGCAGGTCAAACACTTACATTAGTGTTCTTTGCACATTCTTGTTTGGCCAGCTGCAAATTTAGCCAAATATTCTATAATTGAACCCCAACTTCTATTTATCTTTAAAGCAATGGGAATTTTCTTTAAAAAGCAAGAGGCACTGTCTCTTTAGTAGTCATTCTTGTCTGGTCTCTCTTCAACTTGGAGCCATGCTTCAACTATTTGTCATAAAACGGCGAATAATCTTTTAAAAATGTAAATTAGATCATTCCATTTTCTTGCTTCATGCCTTCTGTTGCACCTTGAAAAAAATACACGACCACATCTTATTTCAATTTCTCAAAAAATGGCAAACTACTCTTTTGGTACAAGAGCCATAATACTTTGATTCCCTTTGCCTGATACCCAACACCCCCCTTTCCCACTCTTTCGATGAGCCTGTGTCTTAACATCTTCCATTCTCAGCTTCAATGTGACGGTCTGTGGTGGTTTAAATAGGAATAGCCCCATGGGCTAATATATTTGAATGTTTGGTTCCCAGTTGGTTTTTCACTGGTAGGAATGATTAGGAGGTGTGACCTTGTTGGCGAAGGTGTGTCATGAGCGACCAAGCTTTGAGGTTTTAAAATCCCATGCCAGGCCCAGTCTGCTTTACCTCTTGCTTATAGACGTAAGCTCTCAGCTACTGCTGCAGCTCTGCTCCAGTGCCATGCCTGCTTACCTGCTGTCAGACTTCCTACCAAAATGGATGAGGACTAACCCTCTGAAATTGTAAGCAATCTCACAATTAAGTATTTTATTTCACGAGTTGCCTTGGTCATAGTGTCTCTTTCCAACAACAGAACAGTAATTACAACACAGCCTAAAAGATATTTTCTACCCCTCCTTTTCTTTTTTTTTTTTTTGTATTTCATGTATTTTTAATTTTTTTTAATTTATTACAATTTATTCACTTTGTATTCCAGCTCTAGCAACCTACCTCATTCCCTCCCAATCCTGTCCTCCCTCCCTCTTCTCCTCCCATGCCCCTTCCCCAGTCTACTGATAGGGGAGGTACTCCTTCTTTTCCATCTGACCTTAGTCTATTAGGTCTCATCAGGAGTGGCTGCATTGTCTTCCTCTATTGCCTGGTAAGGCTGCCCCCCCCCAACTTCAGGGGGAGGTTATCAAAGAGCCAGACACTGAGTTCATGTCAGAGACAGCCTCTGTTCCCATGGAATACTACTCAGCAATTAAAAACAAGGAAATCGTGAAATTTGCAGGCAAATGGTGGGAACTAGAAAAGCACATCCTGAGTGAGGTATCCCAGAAGCAGAAAGACACACATGGTACATAGTCACTTATAAGTGGATATTAGATATATAATATAGAATAATCATACTAAAATATGTACACCTAAAGAAGCTAAGCAAGAAGGAGGACCCTGGATAAGATGCTCAATCCTCATTCAGAAAGGCAAACGGGATGGACATGGGAAGAGGGAGAAAACAGGGAACAGGACAGGATCCTACCACAGAGGGCCTCTGAAAGGCCCTAACAGGGTATCAAAGCAGATACTGAGACCCATAGCCAAACTTTGGGCAGAGTTCAGGGAATCTTATGAAAAAGGAAATAAAAAGACCTGGAGGAGACAGGAGTTCCACAAGGAGACCAACAAAACACTTCCTTTTCTTGTATAACAAGATATATATCTTTTACGTTCCTCTGCCTGTCTTCCCCTAGCCCTCTACTTTAACATCACAGCATTCTCTGTTCCTTTTACAAGATTTGGCAAAGATTGGAATGACTGTATTTTTCTGTTGATTCTTCTGATAGCATCTCCATTCTAAAATACCTGAGATCACAATCTCCATCTGGTGTTTTAGAGTCTTATAGCAGTTTACTTGTATGAATGCACACATTCCTTTGTTAATTCCCCATTTAGTAAATGAGTATGTCTCTAAAACTAAGCTGGGAAAGATGAACTTTTACAAATACACACCCTTTCAATTCTGGCCATGAAAATCCTTATTATCAATCTACAACTATTAGTAGATTTTTTTCCTAAATTTTTATTATGAAAAAATAACTTGAAAGATGTTATTGATGTTAACACACACACACAAAATAAAAAACAAAAACAATACACAGCTTTCACCTCAAAGGGAATAAATGGTACTTTATTCTAGAGCCAAATCTGACTAACCATGGTCAGAGAAACGTAACCCTAAGTCATCCCATGCCCCATGTTTCAACTTAGGAACAGTTTCATGGAGTTTTGCAGCAATAGAATGAACAAGGTTATGAATCAATATGATTTTCAAATATATTGGTGAAAAGAGAGGTGTTACAAGAATATGAAGAAATCTCTCCTATATGCCTGAGATACTAACTGATGACATTCTTAGCTTTGGGATTGGTGGATGTTAGTGGTCTATTAAACTGATAGACTAAGATCAGAAAGAAGGAGAAGAGGACCTCCCCTATCAGTGGACTTGGGGAGGGACATGCATGCAGAAAGGGGGGAGAGGGTGGGACCAGGAGGGGAGGAGGGAGGGGCTTATGGGGGGATACATAATGAATAAAGTGTAATTAATAAAAGTTAAATAAAAAATTTAAAAAAAAGAAAAAAAAAGTTAATAA